TTCGCTGAAAACCAACCACGGATCTGATGGGGCAGTGTCAGTACTCTATTTTCATCATAAGAGAAAAGGACACTACTGAGATTTTTGCTGAGATTCTGTGGAAAATGAGGCCAGTATTGATTTGCGAATACATCATAGGTGACGAAACAGTCATGCGCGTCAGCATCGTCAACATTGAAGAAAAATCCTGCACTGTCTTTCTTGCTCAGGATATCTGCCGCGATCATTTTCGCCAGCTACATAAAGTTTTGATTAGCTTGGAAACTGTCTAGACGACGGATTGGGACGCACGCGATCGAAAGTGAGAAAAAGAGGGAAGTGCTTATCCTCAAGTTCGCTGTATTTCATCGGCATATTCATCTGGGATTCAGGCAGGTCGTCGAGATCAACAAGGCCCTCCTGAACACTTCGTGCCTTCATTTTTGCAAGCTCCTCCAGGGTATAGCCTGCTAATGCCAGAGATTCGAGAAGCTTCGTGAAATACTCTTCTACTTTCGTAGCGAGCACTCTGGATTTGGTGACAAAGATTTGGCGTGGCTTCGGCATGTCAACAGCGCTCATCTCCCAAGCTCGCTGAATTCCGAGAATCTTAAACAGCATCGTCGTGGTTTTTCTAGTTGAATGTGATATATAAGCTATTCATATTAAGGGCAGGACACTTACCCCGTGCCGCTGCGACCCAAGACGTAACATGACGTAGTACACTCAACAATCTTTTGTTCTTGGGGACTGAACCAATATCGATCAGTAAATTCGGTCCATTGGGACAGAACTTACGTGAGCATAAAGACGTGCTGTACATCTTGGTCTGCGATGAGACCTTTTGCAAAGATGAGAATAAGTGGCGAGCCAACTACATGATCACTCACTATGCAAGAACGCCTAAAACAAGAAGTTATCGAGTCAATATTCGCATGCCCATAAACCGTGTTTATAAGCTTACTTGCGAGAATGTGACATATTTCTCCAAACTAGAAAATTGTTAGATGGAAACCAATTTGTATAAGGATAAATGCATACACAAGCAAAGAGTGAAGCTATGACATGGATCAATGACCGCACAAATGACAACTGAAAATACTCAACGTGGTCCATATCCTTATTACTAAGATTAAGTGGACTTCCTGAGCATTCTGGCTCACGTTCAGCTAGTGGGAATGACGCAGGCAGAATCGCGCTGTCTTTAGATAGGACTGGTCTGTTCCGAAAGATACACCTGCACAAGCAACGATTCACTGAAATGCATCAAGAGTTGAAAGAATGTCCTCACCTTCTACGATATTCTCTGCCCTTGCGTGCGAGATGGCTACCCAAGGCATCCCATATTCCGTCAAGCTGAGCATCCATATAAATGCCGTATATCTTGATTACTGGAGTTCATATGAGTGCTAATGGCGGAGAGATGTAATTGCACTTGATAGTTTACCTTGTCTTTCGGACTGTCAAGATCAGTCTCAGTATCATGCTCGATGTTGATGTAAAAACGACGTACTTTTCCATCTTGGTCAGGGACACAATCGATTTGGTACTGTTAGAAAAGGTCGGTCACCTCAAGCTCAAAACGACGTACGTGGAATTACACTTACCACTAACTGTAGGTCCTTTGTCATCTTGGCATCGTAGATGGGTATGCCTGCATCCGGCCCGTTAAGTCGTTTCTGATTATCGTCTGAAAAATGGCCATTCGATAGTTGTCTGTAAGAACGATGAGATCATTGCAGTAAAATTATTCAGAAGACCGACTTGATCTTCTTGAAGATGATCTTGAATGTCTTCTTATCTGCTCTACGGAACTCACGCAAATGTTTGTAGGCCTCCGTAGATATCAGGATTTGCCACTCTCCGAACCCATCCGCGTTGTCGAAGTAAAGTGCAGCCTTCATAGGCTGCACCATTTGGTATGCATTGAGTCGGTCTGTTGGGCTCTCGACATCCTCGGTTGACGAAACTTCAGGCGCAACATATTTGGCATACTCTCTCACGATTGGGAAGAGTAAAGCTTTGATGTCGCCTGCCAATTCCGTCCTCCGCAGAAGCGAGAAGTAGAACTTACAGAGAGCTGTCAGGGGAAACGTCAAAAAAACAGTGAATATACTCACCGAGAGAGCATTTTTCAGCTTTACAAGAATCTGAGTAGACAATGATGCGGCAGCCTTGCTTGTGAGAGGCACAACCACATCAAGCCTCACGAATAGCGATGTGTCGATAGACGTATGAGCTTTCGGGCGATTATGCTTGCGCATTTTCTGAGGCACTTTCTTCTTGACGAATCCATCATCAGATTCGTCGGAGACATCGATCTCGCCTTCAAAGGACCCTGCACCAGAAAATTCCATACTGTTCAACGCGAAAAGTACAGGTAAAGCGCCCTCGATGAAGCATCTGTGACGCGTGATGTCCCTAGAGATATCCATCGCTAGAGACTCGGCCGGAAAAGCTAAAAAGTTCATAGACAGATTGTCCAGCATCTTTCTCGCGATGGATGCCGGATATTCTTGAGACTTCGTTGGAAAGTCTGTCATGATCTGTGAGATCATTGCCTCGCGGCGATCCCAAACTGTTACAGAGTCAGAGTTGATGGCGCTCGAAGAAAGTTTATGAGATACCAGATATGATATATGCAAAAATATGGGGTGACGACAACATATGTTCGACCGTAGCTTGCAATGCGGTTGCTCCTGAACTTGACATTGCGTCCAGATGACGCAAGGCGGCTCTGAGGCCCGTCTCGTTGACTATTCGATCTTTGGAGAATAAGTCCAACATGGTCTGTTGAACAAGAGGAGTTTATGATGACGAAGTGGTTATATGAAAGGCTGGGGAACTTGGACTTGAGCTGTGTCAATGGTACAAAGGAATGCCTTGAACTTGAGGCAACTCTGCAAGGATGTTGGAGTCCTTATATCATCGAGTCAGCGCTCTGCCTGAATTTCCAAACAGGTTGAGGCGCAAATAGCACACCCAAAATCGACACCTGCGGGCAACCTGAAGCTGTACATGAGCGATAAACTTGGACCCTCAAATGATCCTAGATTGTGACAAGAACACGACCCTTACGTAGGTGGGACCAGAATCACCAGATGTGTAAGTTAGCATTCCGAAATAAATCGGCTAGGGCTAGTAGGGTCACCTCATTCCAGGATGGCGACAAAAGTTCGCGTCTAGACTGAACTTTCTTGGAAATAAGGCCACAAGTATCAAGCTGGACCTACAGCGCGTGTTGTAATAGAAGCAGATGAGAGGCACAATATGTTAATTTTTCGGAAATCTCCTACATACATTTGAAATCATACAAGCATATATCATCCGTTCACCTTCGAATGTTTACTACAATGAATTACAATAAGAGATGTCTGCATGTACACTGTTGTCCTTCTCTTGCAAATACCGTTCGAATGTCTCGTACTCTTGTGATCACTGACATGATATCTTAGTGGGATTTTCCCACGCCATAGGGTATTGGGCATTGTGTTGACAATACCAAGTACAGCTGAGCGCTGATCACCGTGATCACGAATTGATGATCCAGCACAGGCTTGCGAAGTTCATAAAACGCACGGCAGCCAATCCGCGAGTGTGGAAGGTCGTTATCAGTATGATGCACTTCAGGTAAGTTCAGACCATTGGTGTGTCTCCCAGACATGTCCTGACCTCATGTTTACTAGTACCTATCAACCATCGTACAGAACACATTGCAAAATATCGTGCCATCAAGATCGAGTGGAGCTCCGTGCAGCAACCTCCGCTTTGGTCGAAACGACTCTGACTATAAGGTATGTCATATAGTATCTAAAGACAACTTGGACTAGATCTCTTTCGTGAATGAAGTTGCCATCTTTCAAATTTACAATGTACCATACACGCAGATACCGTTTTCGCATAATATTAAGATGGACGATAATCCACACATATTGATGTACTTATTTGTGCAGGAGCCAGGATGAGCCAATCATAATTGTATCATTTCACTATATTACATCTTCACACGAGGTGCAGCGCTCAGCTTCATATCATGACATTCTTCCTTCAATCTTCCTTTGTCCTTATCATCCTTGTGCACAGCCATATCATATGCCTTCCACCACTCGCTGCGATACTGAAAATAGCGCTGTATAGGTCATCGAATTCCTCCCAAACGTTTCAAAGGTCCATCATCTCAGCCCGAAGTCTCATTCTCAATGTCTCTCTGTCTACTTTCATCTCGATCTTTCATTCCCCTTCAAACTTGCGTTTCGCGCCATATTCTTCTTGTGCGGTCACAACTAAGACTTACATCTTCAAATCCTCACGTCGCGATTTTTGATGTTTCGGGTGAGTAGATCACTCCACCTGTGCCCGGTTTTGATTGGACCAAGTACTGTTTCTCCGATATTCCACACTCCTACTGTCCCATAATTAGATCCGCTCACCTGGCCACTCGTTTATCCAGTGCACTAATCGCACCCAATCAGTGTGTCTCGTCTATCTGGCAATTATCCTCCCCGTCTCCACATCTCGCAACGCCACTATCCTATCAGTGCCTCCACTTGTAATAGTTTTGTCGTTCGGAGACAATGTTACGATAGTGAACGCTAATCACAGATCTAAAGTTCCCTCATCTCGCCATTCGTATCCTACTAATCTGTATTACTCTCCAGGTTCATAGTTCAAGTGACCCATCCCACGCACCTGTGATGATGTATCGTCCCCCAGGCAGGTGCACAATCCTCATGCGACGAGACTAGATCCTCACCGGAGCTTAAATACCTCTCTCACAACTCCGGAACGACGCTGTCGACAATATTCTTGGCGCACTGTCTATTGCAGGCAACTATGTCATACCAGGTAATGTAACATTTCGATCATGCAGCTGTAGTTTATTATTTGTTCTGGAATGCAGCTTGTATTTTAATCACACCTTGCACCGCGGTAATAAGGTACAAGCATACATTGACATCTAACAGCATCGAATGGAGGCATTGCGCGTGAAACTTCCAAGCGTTGAAAGGTGGATACTTAATTTACAGGCAGCACTGCGGATGAATAGCACACGGTTCGTGTATAATGATAATGGAGGCGCGAGTCTAGATCCGGGTGATAGTGACACAAGTCTAGCATGCTGCATAGGCCTTGTTCTAGTCCTGTATGGTAGGGCGTGGCAGGGCACAATGGTTGGTTGAGGAAGAAAAGAAAGAAAAGAATCACAAGCCTTAATTCACAGCGAGGGTCGAACTCACATGATCGAATATTGATGTCTTTGAGAACCTCGGCAGAATACACGTGGTCATCGAAACCGAGACAGTACTGAGCGCGCAGCGACTGATGCCAGCCTCCGAAGGGGGCTGCGAGTGGAGACCTGGAAGGACGCTGAAGATCATTATGTGCTCCTGATACAAACATCAATGCATTATTTGCCAGGATCATGTAGATGCAGCCACATATATATCGGTCGGCGTCTGTCTGGAAGTTAAACTCGAAAACTACCACGAGTACAAGACAAGCCGCAGTGGATGTACTCACAGAAAGACGAATAAGTAGACCAAATCAACTCTAATGGCATTAGCAACATCGATAGGCTGAAAGCCAAGCTGGGAAAACAGGTTGCATATCATATGTGTATATAACACACACCTGACGACAACATCCGTTACGTCGAGATCTTTAGCTATCTGAGGATGGAAGGCACGAATGTCACTTGGGCGAACACTAACCAATGTTTGTCAGTATCATGTCCAAGTCAGCGGTGTATTAGTATACCGTAACTTTAACTCCCAGAACTCAGTACTCAGTAGCCAACAAACCCACAAAGGACACGTGAAACAGAATCCACCTCTTGATGTGGCGCGAATCTGTCTGATAGATAGCTTCATGCGCGGTGGGCACCAGCATAGGGCTTTCTTCTGAGTCTGAAGCCGCATCGTGAATCGTGTGCTGAGTCTCGTGGATAGCGCGGAAGATATAATAATAATATTCATCAACAACGTACCTCGATCGTGCAGGTCGGATGGATATATCGATCGCTAAGTGACTCTACTTCCCCTATGGAAATTTCCGACCAATGTGGTTGTACAACGCTCGTTGAGTATTTTGAGTCCGTAATGAATGTAACTTACAAAGTTCGCAGACGTGATTGGTTATCACACCAGGCTGCACCCTGTACGGATAGCTACAATCAGCATCGAGCCCCTTCAGTGAATTTACCCGTATTAGACGGACAGCTAAGGGTGACAATGTACCAATACAAGCGGGCCAGCCCATGTGGGCCCATGGCAATAAGTGTACCATGCTAGACGAGTGGGCCGGTGTGTGGTGCGTACCTGTTTGTAACGGATGGGCCGGTGGTATATAATGTAGATGGTGGTATAGGAATGTAGTGTATAGTCTATTATGAATAGCAGTGAATGCAGTGTCCGATGGAGACGAGTGGGCCGGCTGAATGGTGTGCAATGTAAACGAGTGGGCCGGGGGGAGTAAGCACAATGGAAGACGGGTGGGCCAGGGGGTGTAAGCTCAATGGAAGACGGGTGGGCTAGAGGGTGTAAGCTCAATGGAAGACGGGTGGGCCAGAGGGTGTAAGCTCAATGGAAGACGGGTGGGCCAGGGGGGGGTAAGCTCAATGGAAGACGGGTGGGCCGGGGGTACAGCTTGATGATATCCCATCCGGTAGATGGTGGAAATTTCTTCCGGTATTGACGGTGAAGAAGAAATGGATGATACAGATGAGCCGGTAGTGTTTACCGGATTAGCCGGATGAACATGAAATGGATGATACAGATGCGCCGGTAGTAAATGGATGATACAGATGAGCCGGTAGTACATGAAAATGGATGATACAGATGAGACGGTAGTAAATGGATGATACAGTTGAGCCGGTAGTATATGAAAATCGACTATACAAATTAGCCGGATGAGCCGGATGATACATGAAATGGATGATACAGATGAGCCGGTCGTGTTAGATGGATTGGCCGGATGAGCCAGTACATTAAATGGATGATACAGATGAGCCGGCAGAACGCCATCCGGTCCCGCAGTATTCATACTACTGAATGCAAGTCAAATCATATTCATTGAAAGCATGCAAGGTCGACAACACAATGTAGACGACAGGTACATACAAAAACATGAATGGTGTGCTACTGTGTCCCATCACCGGAAGGCTTGCTTGCATATCTAGCACTCACTGACCGACCTTGTTGAGATAGAGGTCCATATCGCGGGCGTGGCAAAGGAGCCGAGATGGACTGCGCATCAGCCGGCATACGTGATGGACCGGCAACCGGGGGATCAGGAGATCGCACAGCCGGAGAGCCAGCCGGAGGAACAGATGATCTGGATTCCCCCATGGTCAATGGAGGGATGTTGGTGGGAGTAGATGACACCCGGTTGAGCCTTGCGACCGGTGAGCCGTCTGCAGTGTCACCAAACGCATCACCACCGGTCTGGGCACCCATCCAAGATACATCCGGGGTGAACACGTTGTTGGTGACAGTGCGGGCAAATGCACTGATGGATGGGCCGGGAGCTGTGATGGGAGGTGGGTTGAATGCCGGCGGAGGAGTTGATGCTGGTGTTTGAGCAGATCTATGCTCCCTCAGATACCTGACGATGCCTCTCACTTCGGCGGTGCACTCAGAGAGGAGTCCACGCTGCACCTGCATATCCCGCTCGAGTTCGTCCACCTGCATGGACATTGCACTGTCAGATGCCTCTGCAAGGCCCATGCGACGCTCCAGGCGATCTTGCCGCAAGTCGATTTCCAATCGATCGCGTGTACGAAGGTCCTCCATCTCAACGCGAATTTGGGCCAACATGGCCTCCATCTGGTCATGAGAAAGGGGGTGCCGGATGGGTGGGGTGTGGACGACAGGTAATGGTGAGAACCGGATGTCGTCCTCTGAGGCCATGGCCGGTGATGGAGCTGGAGGTGGCAACTCGTCAGTGCCGGGCTCGATCCAGTGATCCGCAGGGAAATCGTCTGCTGACGCCAAAGGGGCGGATTGCTGTTGAGCACCCGGCACACCCACAGTGCCATCGAACATCTCGATGTTGTCGTCTTCCTCTTCGATAGGACTAGGTTGCCGGATTTTCTGTTCTACAAGCATGGTGAGAAACATAAAGCAACCGGAAGCAAAAGACTTACCTTTCGCATTAGATTTCCCCACCATCTTCTTGCCGGTCGCTTTGGACCGGGTCGTCTTAGAGCGTGTGGTGATTGCGGCAGGTGGTGCAGTGTCAGTGGTGGGGGTAACGGTGGAACTCTCTGTATCCGGCCGGATACATGCCATCTTCCAGACGTGGCACAACGTGCATGTCGAGGCGACATCGCCTTTCTTCGTTAACCGGGGGCAACACTCCACATTCTTCGCCTTGCATCTCTGACAAGGCGGCAGAGGTCCGTCAGCGCGGGGCTATGATAAATCAGCATGGCAAAAATTAGCAGTGACCGGAGGACTCACCGGCTCTTGTACCTTGGTCTTCCTGCCGGTGGTCTTGACCTTGGACTGGCTGGACTATGGAGTAATGTCAGTTTGTATTCGATCTTCGCATATACAAGCAAATCTTACCAGTTTTTGTCGCTTCCCTGGACGTAAAGTGGCCTGCACCAGGATGAGCGATGGACCGGTAGATATAAAGATAAATCAATAACTTACCTTTGATTTGCCTTGTGCGTCTTCATCCTCCTCCAATTCATCTTCATCATCCTCTGCAATCGCAACAAACCGACTTGCCTTCAGTTTGCCCTGCTTTTTTGCAGGGACAACAGCCTTGCGCGTTGATTTCCGGGGCTGTTGTCAGCGTCAGTAAGGTCGAATGTAGGAAGAGCAAAACACTTACCTGAGCATCCGGAAGGTCATCGACATCGATCACGTCGTTGTCCTCATCACCCTCAACTTCCGGCACCTTTGCCTTCCCCTTCCCCTTCACCGTCTCACCGTCAGTAGTATCAGTGTCGGACAAGATTGCCTTCGACTTGACGACAGGCTTCCGGGACCGGTTGCCACGAGGGACAGGAGGGCTGGTGCTGAGTCGACGTTTCCGCGTCGTCGACGACCCTGCCGGTGCAGTTTCACCGGATGCTGCACGTCTTGGCATGCGAATGCTGGCATCTCGCGCAGGCGCCGGTACCGGTACCGGTGGTGGTGCAGGTGCAGGTGCAGGTGCAGGTGCAGGTGCAGGTGGTGGTGCCGGTGCAGGGGTAGGAGCAGGTGGTGGAGCAGGAGCAGGTGGTGGAGCAGGAGCAGGTGGTGGTGCCGGTGCAGGTGCAGGGGTGGGTGCAGGTGGTGGTGCAGGTGGTGGTGCAGGTGCAGGTGCAGGTGCAGGTGCAGGTGCAGGTGCAGGTGCAGGTGCAGGTGCAGGTGCAGGTGCAGGTGCAGGTGCAGGTGCAGGTGGTGGTGCAGGTGTGGGAGCAGGTGGTGGTGCCGGTACCGGTACCGGTGCAGTTGCTACTGCAGTCTCAGGTGTGAGTACAGGTGGGATGAGGAGGAAGACACTCACCAGGAGCTGCAGACGCAATAGGTGGTGCAGCACCCAATGTCTTACTGTACAATGGGTGCTTCATGCACATGTCCTGATTGTTCCCAAGACGGGTCCAATCCGGTACTTCCACCAATTGTGTGGTGCGCCTCTGAGCGCGAAAGATCTCAGCTGCAAGTGACAGCAGGTTTGGGGGAACATAGGAAGCCTCCTTCCCATAGGTGCGAATTGCATCATTCTATGTGACCATAGTATCAATCAAGACAATTGACAGGTAATGAAACATACCACTTCACGCGCAATCTTCCGGCTCAACTCCATTTTTTCCTCTTGTGACGGCAACCGGTTGACATCTTGAACCATCTCAGTGAGCCGGGTGACAAGAGCTATGAGAGCCTGGTTGGCAGCGGCAGCGGCAGATGCAGAAGTAGAGGTAGAGTGAGAAGACATGGCAGGGAGATGATTGCAGTAGAGACTTAGTGGACAAGTAATCCGGAAGAGACGTGTTAAACAACCACACTTGTGAAAATTTCGGCAACCGGCAGCCCGGCCCGATCCGGAAATATCCGAGTCCATTGTTCGCTGTCAGCGTCTATTTTTAAGTGTCTATTTTTAAATCTGAATATCACATTGTGCGGCTGACACGTCATCATCAATCAATTGTAACTACCCAACCTGTGAAAACATCATCCGGTCACAGGCTGCAGCAGAACGTCTATTCTTCCGGTGATCTTATGAAGGCCGCGGATTTATATAACCCCCTCATTAAAATTAAAAAGAGAAGGATGCGACCGTCAGCCAAGGCCCAGCATGACCTACATGTGTCTAGTGAGGATGAAGGTAACAATCTATCTACTACAACAATGGACCGGTTGACATTATCCGGCATTCTAGTATTTGACATCTTACAGCCAGGGCGCGATGAGCGCACTTACAACAACCCTTTGATGGATTGTTCAAGCATGGGTGAATGTGAGTTCATCTCATGTGTAGCAAAGACCATTCACATTACCTTTGAAGACCTGGATGTCCTGTCCGCTCATGACCGGTTGGGGGATGGGAATGGATTGAAGGCCGTCCACTTCCAAACCGAGGGTGACCACCGGTCATTGGACTTGGGTTTTCCCGCGTCAGATGACGACCGGATAACCGACACTCGCAACCACCCACAGCCGGACATCTTGGATATGCAATTCCCCACCATGTCTGACGATGAACAGTCACATGACGAGATGCTGGAATTAGGATTTCCACCAGAGTCGGACGTCGAAGATGTGCTAGATTTGGGGTTTGATATTGACGTCAGTGATTCAGCCGGTAACACAGATGGGGCTCTGGAGATGGGGTTCGACATCGACGTTAGCGATCCGGCCGGACACACAGATGGGGCACTGGAGATGGGCTTCGACACCAATGATATCATGCCGGATGACAACCCTCTGGAGATGGGTTTTGATGTGGATCCGGCACAATTTGACCCGGATCAATCTTGTAAGCATTCCTGTTGCTTCAGATATTGTACTGACTGTTGAAATTCAGTTGCTGTCATTCGACCGGATCCCATTGGATTTGTAATCCAGCGGGCTGTAGGCGATTTGCGGATTGCAATGCACCGGTTGGACATGGACCGGGCGAGCAATGCAATGTCGCCGGACGAGGCCATTGCAAGACAGCAAGTTCTTGACAGCACACAAGAGTTGTTGCTGGCATGTCAACTGATATCCATATCTCGACTTGCAACATGAAGTATGTAGTTCCGGTCAAATGCTATCTACACCCTAGACAAATTGCATGCAAAAATCCACATTACTACTACTGCATATACTGAGCTTTGTAAGAGGCCTTTGCACTTCTAAGAGAGCGCTTTGGCTCATGATTGGTGGTCTGGGCTTCATGTCCTTTGGCTTTCTTGCCGGTGGCCTTGGTTGGG